CAGGCCCAGTCAAGGTCCTCCACTGCCCATCCCAGTCCCAGTGCTCCATCTGCCTGGGCATCTGGAACACCACTTCCTGAATCTTGCCGTGCAGCCTGTGTGGTGATTTAGCATTCATGGGTATTTGTCTAATCTTCATAACACACTTGCTGAAATAGCTGTGATTTGTTCACTATTTATGGCTAAGTTGAGCCCCTAAACTGTGCCAGGTAGACCGAGACTGGATTTCTTGAGGCAGGTGGAGGAGATAGACCTCCTCAAGTCAGTCTATTGGCTGACCAAGTAGAAATGAGAGGTGATGCCAAGCCAGTGTGTGCTGCCAAGGCAATGCAAAGAGGGGAGGAGATTCATTCAAAATACCAGACAAGAAATCTTAAGGCAACAATCTCAAAACTGAGACTATCCTCCTTATATAACACATAGAATCAGAATCCTAAGCACAGCTGGCAATTAGGTTGTAAAGCAAGCATAATTCCATCATTACCTAAAACAGAAGTCAGCAAATTCTATACAGAGACAAAGAGTAAATATTTTCAGGATTGTAGGAAGTCTCTGTTGCAGTCACCCAACTCTATTGGTGCAGTACAAACACACCCACAATGATGCGCAAATAGGAACAGAACTGTTCTGATAAAACTTTACTTACAAAAGCAGGCAGATGAGATTTGGCTTCACTGATGCCTGACCTAAAGGATTACATACTTTGAAGATGGCAATGTCAAACTTAAAACATAGTGGAGTGAACTTTCTCACACTCCTGTTCTCCTGAACTTAACTGGGGGGTGATTGGAGATGCAGAAAGGACAAATGATAGAAGATAGACATGCATAAAGTTGGGGCCGGGTGTGATGGGCGCTCAGATGGAGACGCACAACAGCCTCGTTTCTTTTCTCTAGTAACTCGTCTTTTACTTCTCTTCTCTTTATTCTGCTTTTCTCTATCTTTAAAACCATACTTCTAAAGTCTTTCTTTAAAAACTTGCTTCTTACTGTCAAAATATCCCTATTTGCAGACGACATGATCTATACCTTAAAGACCCAAAAAACTCTACTCAGAAGCTTCTAGACATCATCAATAGCTACAGCAAGGTAGCAGGATATAAAATCAACATAGAAAAATCATTAGCATTTCTATACACTAACAATGAGCAAACTGAAAAAGAATGTGTGAAAACAATTCCATTTACAATAGCCTCCAAAAAAATCAAATACCTAGGTGTAAACCTAACAAAAGATGTGAAAGACCTCTACAAGGAAAACTATACACTTCTGAAGAAAGAGATTGAGGAAGACTATAGAAAGTGGAGAGATCTCCCATGCTCATGGATTGGTAGAATCAACATAGTAAAAATGTCGATACTCCCCAAAGTAATCTACATGTTTAATGCAATTCCCACCAAAATTCCAATGACATTCATTAAAGAGATTGAAAAATCTACTGTGAAATTTATATGGAAACACAAGAGGCCATGAATAGCCAAGGCAATACTCAGTCAAAAGAACAATGCAGGAGGTATCACAATACCTGACTTCAAACTATATTACAAAGCAATAACAATAAAAACAGCATGGTACTGGCACAAAAACAGACATGAAGACCAGTGGAACAGAATAGAGGATCCAGATATGAAGCCACACAACTATGAGCAACTTATCTTTGACAAAGGAGCTAAAAATATACGATGGAGAAATAGCAGCCTCTTCAACAAAAACTGCTGGGAAAACTGGTTAGCAGTCTGCAAAAAACTGAAACTAGATCCATGTATATCACCCTATACCAAGATTAACTCAAAATGGATCAAGGAGCTTAATATCAGACCCCAAACTCTTAAGTTGATACAAGAAAGAGTAGGAAATACTCTGGAGTTAGTAGGTATAGGTAAGAACTTTCTCAATGAAACCCCAGCAGCACAGCAACTAAGAGATAGCATAGATAAATGGGACCTCATAAAACTAAAAAGCTTCTGTTCATCAAAAGAAATGGTCTCTAAACTGAAAAGAACACCCACAGAGTGGGAGAAAATATTTGCCAATTATACATCAGACAAAGGACTGATAACCAGAATATACAGGGAACTTAAAAAACTAAATTCTCCCAAAACTAATGAACCAATAAAGAAATGGGCATGTGAACAGAACTTTCTCAAAAGAAATTCAAATGGCCAGAAAACACATGAAAAAATGCTCACCATCTCTAGCAATAAAGGAAATGCAAATTAAAACCACACTAAGATTCCACCTCACCCCTGTTAGAATAGCCATCATCAGCAACACCACCAACAACAGGTGTTGGCGAGGATGCGGGGAAAAAGGAACCCTCTTACACTGTTGGTGGGAATGTAGACTAGTACAACCACTAGTTGACTAGTTGGAGGCTACTTAAAAAGCTGGACATCGATCTACCATTTGATCCAGCAATACCACTCTTGGGGATATACCCAAAAGACTGTTACTCCAGAGGCACCTGCACACCCATGTTTATTGCGGCACTATTCACAATAGCCAAGTTATGGAAACAGCCAAGATGCCCCACCCACTGACGAATGGATTAAGAAAATGTGGTATCTATACACAATGGAATTTTATGCAGCCATGAAGAAGAACGAAATGTTATCATTCGCTGGTAAATGGATGGAATTGGAGAACATCATTCTGAGTGAGGTTAGCCTGGCTCAAAAGACCAAAAATCGCATGTTCTCCCTCATATGTGGACATTAGATCAAGGGCAAACACAACAAGGGGATTGGACTATGAGCACATGATAAAAGCGAGAGCACACAAGGGAGGGGTGAGGATAGGTAAGACACCTAAAAAACTAGCTAGCATTTGTTGCCCTTAATGCAGAGAAACTAAAGCAGATACCTTAAAGCAACTGAGGCCAATAGGAAAAGGGGACCAGGAACTAGAGAAAAGGTTAGATCAAAAAGAATTAACCTAGAAGGTAACACCCACGCACAGGAAATCAATGTGAGTCAATGCCCTGTATAGCTATCCTTATCTCAACCAGCAAAACCCCTTGTTCCTTCCTATTATTGCTTATACTCTCTCTACAACAAAATTAGAGATAAGGGCAAAATAGTTTCTGCTGGGTATTGAGGGGTGGGAGCGGGAGGGGGTGGAGTGGGTGGTAAGGGAGTGGGTGGGGGCAGGGGGGAGAAATGAACCAAGCCTTGTATGCACATATGAATAATAAAAGAAAAATGAAAAAAAAAAAAACTTGCTTCTTTTCTATTCTTTACTGTTTCCTCGGACTACAGTGCTCAGACTTGCAGACAAATAACAGCAGCCACCTCTAAAAACTGCATTAGCATAACTCTTAAAGTCTGGGTCCTTAGACTTGCACTGTCCCATGTTCTCTTTAGCTTAGCTTTTCAAAAGCCTATGTATAAAGTTCTCAGTGCAGAAAGCTGCTCTGGTGGAAACACACAACAGCCAGCACTCAGCAGCAGCCAATCAAAACTCCCCATCAAGAACCCATCAAAAAAACCCTTCATCAATCCCCCATCAAAAAACCCTCCTGTTTTTTGGAGCAACAGTTCTCAGGGAGGGGCGTAACATTATAACAAGAGAAACCTGCTCTCTACTTCTCTCAATGTAAACAACATAGGAAAAGCAGCTGTGCTGCATTTTGCCTTCTTGCTCTCTTCTGTGGCTGAGGCCATGCCAAATTCAGCCTGTAGGTCATTGAGCACAACTGTGCTTATGTCATGTTTTCATAGGCTTCTCACAATCCACTCCCCACAACGCAGCTCCAGTATTTTTTCAGCATCTCTATCATGACGCATTACGCTTTCATGAGACAGCTGTAAATATGCTGGTTGGATGTAGTTTTATAAGTAAGCAAGGTACAAAAGAATTTATATATACATATAAAAGAACGGGGGCAGAGGACATATATGTGAGTGAGTATATTCTTGGATAGTTTAAAGTCTTTCTGGAAGAATACTCAAGAAAACGGTTACAAAAAAAGAAAGAAAAAAGCTGCTTCTGGGGAAGGAAAATTGGGTAATTAGGGGGCTGTGGCTGGGAGGAAAAGTCACTTTTTACTTTTAGTATTTGAACATTTTTAAATCGCCTGTGTATTTTCTTCCAAAATAGTTCAAACTTAAAACATAAAAAGACAACTAGATTGTCTGGGTCTGAAGTGCTGCCTGTGGGTCATAGTCACAGAGGCAATCCTGAGTGGTGAGCAGTGGACAGGGCACTTCTGCCAAACTCTCCTAAAATGCAAATAAGGAGTCTTCTTTGCTTGCTTCCTTTCTGTCCCTCCCGGCCACAGGTTCTCAGCTGCACCTGGTTTCAGGGCAGGGCACATCAGGACCAAATCACTTACCTGTGCTCTCCTGCACAGCGAGCAGCAGAGGAGGACTCCTGGATCATGGTTTCATGGTCAGGCATATTTTGGAGAGGCAATAGGACACTGACTAACATAGACACAAGTCCTCAGATTTGTGTGATTTCATTTGCCGGCCTCTCACCTCCTCTGCTTTCTTTGAGTAACATGCAGTGTGTAAAATAATGTAGCATGGAGATGGTTATGTCTTTGTTTTTAGGCTGGTGGGCAAGCTCTCTCCTGAGAGTTGGTTTCTGGGAGTTCTGTAGCCATGGATCACCCCAACCACAAATCAGTAAATAAAAAAATGGCACCTGTACTGAACATGTAAACTTTTTTCAAGTCTGGATTGTTAAGTCACCCTAAATAATCCAGAACAACTATTTACACTGTATTGCAAATTGAAGTCATGTAGACATGATTTACAGCACATGAGAGGATGTTTGTAGGTTATATGCAAATATGATGCCATTCTGTGTAAGGGACTTGCACATCTGCAGGCTGTGGTATCTGTGGGAACTAGTTCTCTGAGGGTACTGAGGGAAGACTGTACAGGAAACACAAAGCTTAGACACTGAAACCAAAAGCAATTAACACCAAAAAACCAAAACAAGTAAGCCCTTCACAAAATTATTTATAGCTATCCTGATAAAGCAACACACAGCACCTTAGCTAGTATCTTTTATTGTCAGACTTTCTGTGAGCCAACAAACAGCACTTTCACATAGTTGTCCATAAAGGGATAAGGCAAATTTAATTTTTCTTTGTGAATGGACTTAGTTGGTCCAACTCTTTATAACTTCCATATAAAAATAAAGGTCCAAGTCCAGATTATTTTTCTTCTGGTCAAACAAAAATTGTTGATTGCCTTATTCAGACCACCATTATAAAGTTGGGACAAAATACATGTATATTTTATTAAAGTCTCAGCATTTAATGTCAGGGTGTTTTAAGCATTGGCTCACGTGTTACACCTTTCAGGAATGCAGCAGCTTTCCCCCATATTCAACATGGTTATATCTGCAATCTATCCAGAGTGATACAAGCTAACATTTAAAGAAAAAAAAAAATTAACTCTTAGAAACGCAAGACTCCAAAATGACTTCATATTGTTCTAAAAACAGCACTGAAGCCAGCAGTTAAGAGTGGTTTATAAATACACTTATCTTGTAGGCTGCAGATCTGTTTGTAATACAGCAGACACAGATTGCAGACTTTGCTACATGTAAAACAAAACTGAGTCAAAAACCTGTTTTTTATGAAATACAGCAAAGACAGGAAACTCCAGAATTCTGGAACTCCACCTTATAAAGTATGGACTGATGACTATAACTCTGAAACTATTAAAATATACAGACAGACTGTTTACACCATTGCACATCCTTTTCCCTTTGTGTTTAATGCTCATGAAACAATGATTAAAGTGTTGAGTTTATGAACACATGCATGCACGGGCAAGCATACACACTTAAAAGATGAAACAAAGCAAAAAGTTAATACACATCCACGAGGAAGGCTGCCAGCAGCGCTCCAACTAACACAGACTGTCTCCTTCCACTCTTGTCTCCCCTCCCCACTCCCTCACCTTCCCTCATTTTCAGGGAATCAGGCTGGGAGGTTAGTGCATAATTGATGGATAGACACCCCGCTTCCAAGCTCTGCAAAGTCTCCCCCCAAAAGAGGGAAGCGCTTCCCTTCAGTAGCACAGTTAAGGTCCATTAGGGTTGGTTCTACAAGTTAAGGCACTTCTGGCTGCTTTGGTGGCAGCATGGTTTTTTTCTCCTCTCTTTCTTTTTTAAGGCATATGTCATCTAAGAGTAGTAAAGCTTTGGAAATTGTGCAGACTGTTAAGGTTGACAGCTAATACATGATCATTGAAGTTGATAGAGTGAAAGGACCCCCAGAAACTCTTCCCTCTGATGAAGGGCTTCCAGAAAGCCTGGGCAGCTCTGCCTTGGGTTGGATCAGAATGCTGGAGCTGGCCTAGGTCGGAGGGTAGCGCGGTCAGGTATCAAAATCACGTGGGTTCACTGGTCTTCACCTGGAGCTGCCCTGGCTGCTCACTGAACGTGTGGTGCTGTAGCGCTTCTTCACGATCATGCTGATGTAGGCTTTCATGAGCTTGGCCACATCTACCACCTGATAGGGAGAGGGTGCAGAACAGTCATGCAGTCACAAGTCTCCACCAGATTAAAGAGCCCAACTACCAACCAGGTAATCTCCGTCCATTGTTCATGCAAAAGCCTATTCCCACTGGGGAAAAGGAGAACCACAGCTTTTCCAAACACGATGTGCACCACCTGGTGGTTCATGCATATAAAAAAATGGTTCTGCCTGATGTACATTGTTAAATTTTGCACTACTGCTCAACACTGTAACACTACTGCCATGATAAAGTCACTGGGTATCAGCAGGGCTGGGATTACTATCCTCACTGGAAATAAACGTGAAATGAAAAGGCCACGTGAGCCCCTGCAAGCCTGGCGCATCTATTCTGGTCCATCCTTTGGGAACAACTGAAGAAACAGAACCAAGGCCTCAGGGGCAAGGAGAGAGCTGTGGCCAGTTCCCCAGCGTTTGGCCTGCTTCTGTTCCATACCAGACATTTCCTCCAGCTATGACCTCTTGCTGGTGCCTTCTGATGATGCCACCACCTTGCAGTTTCTTTGGCCCATCCCTCCTCACAGCTGGCCTGGGCCTTGCAAAGTCATCCTAACAGGCTTCTGCTTCCCTGCTCTCTCCAATTCTCTCCAGACCACTATCTGTAAAACACTGCTGCACCCTCAAGCACCATCAGCCTGACACTGAGGCCCTCCACTCAAGGACCCTCAGCCCTTTGCCTACCACTGCACACTTCCCCGTTAGTATGGTCAACCCGCTGTATCTCACCCCTGGCCTCCCAGAACCTCAAGCACCCTCTCTTCACCTCTCTATTAGGTCAAGGGCACCATTCTATCCATCCTGTTTACCACCCTTACTTGACAGGACCTCTCTGTGGGGACCTCACTGGCTTTTTGTATTATTATATATGTCAAAGTTTGGAGTTAGTAGCACTCAGATATAGAGGCTTTTTTTGCATGTGACTTTGTGATCCAGACTTAGCTATACCCAGATGGTCACATCCCTCAGCTTCCTCCTGCTCTGTGGTTGTCACCAGTGAAGTCTTTCTGATACAATTCTCTGCCATAATCGTCTAATTTCACAAGGTTTTACTGCCAAACTTTTTTCATGACATCTATGTCATTTCCTTTTTACTTCCTTTCCTCCAGGGGCAAGACTCCCTGATAAAACAGAACCAAATTTTTCTGTTGTAAAAATATACAGGAGAAATTTGGTGTTATCTGATTTTGGCTTTTGAGGATCTGCAGTAGGGGAAAGGACTGCTATACTAAGTTTTCAACAGGACACACAGAGAGGTCAAAGGTGTCAGGAAATGGGGTATTGCTCTTCCCATTGTCAAGGCCATGAGTGAGCAGAGGGTCTGCTCTACCTTACCTCACTGGTTTCAAATAACAGCTCGCGCTCATCAACCACGATCTTGTATGTGTTGGCCAGGGGAGCCCCAAAAGAGAGGATGTGTTCATACTGGAACACTTCTAGAGGCTTCCCCTCCCCACGCTTGTAGACAGACACTGCGTCTGCGCTGACGCCCAGCCAGAGCTCCTGGGGGAAGCCGCCTTCCTTGCACTGGTGGAAAAGAGAGTCAGGGTGAGGATTTAATCATAAAGTAGTTAGAAACATGACATCTAGAAGCCATAAGACAGACCTTGAGCAAGGGTTCAGTGTGGAGTGCTGACCGCATGCAATGTGCAGATACACTTGGGGGTAATGAAATAGGAGAAACGCTCGGTCTTTGGCCATTTTGATTGATTCCTGGCTGGGTAATCAATCTCATGAATTTGGGGAAATCAAATCGGTAGAGCCTAACATGTTGCTTTGACTCTCCACATCTCAATTAGATACTCCTCTAAATTAGCTGCATGGATGAAGCCTGATAACACATGGACTGGCCAAGGAACTTGACAAAGGTCTCCAGCCACCCAGAAAGCCTGAGCCAGGCAGGGCTGCTCTGTCAACTCTAGCCCTGCCTCCAATCTTCTTTGGGATGGTTATTATTCAGATACAAAATCTAGGATCACAGAGGAAAATCCTCCCCATCCCGCTATGCTGGGCACTTAGGCTCCTTTTCACAAAAAACAGCAATGACCTGGTGTATGTTTAGAGTAAACGAGCATTTTACTGGTCACACTACAGACTTTCTCACACAGATGGAAGAAAGTAAGAGACTGTGTGAGGGGAATAACAACACAGGGCTGATCTGAACAAATAAGGGGGATATAAATTAGGGATACCAAAGAAAAGAGAGAAAGAGAGACATTGGTTCAAAGTGCTTAATTTATGCTTTGAAACAAACATAACTGAACCAACCAACAAACACCAAAACAACATTCAAGAAGATGCAATTAAGAGAACTTAGAAAATGCAACCAATATTTAGATTTTTAGAGAGCTTTAATTTAGGGGAGAGGTTTTTTTTTTTTGTCTTTTCTTTTTTGGTGCTGGGATCGAACCCAGGGCCTCACGCATGCTAGGCAAGCGCTGTACCACCGAGCTACATCCCAGCCCAGAGAGCTTTAATTTAAAGTCATCAGATAGCATGTGATTATCAGAAAACTGAAAGCTTATCTAGACTTGTCTGTTCAGGGAGATGGAGGAAATGGTTTAAGACTTCACAGGCCACGTGGCTGTACCACGATGACTCAAGCCTACTGTTTCTGCATGAAAACAGCCAAGGAAAATACATAAAGGAAGGAAAGTGACTGTGTTCCAATAAAACTTTATTTATAAAAAAGGAGGTGGCAGGATTTCATGTGCAGGACACAGTCTGCCAAACACTCCCTCTAGACCTAAGTTAAGATTTCCTTTCACTCAATGGTTTATAAACAAACAAACAAACAAACAAAGGTATGAATCTGCACTGGATTGGTGCTGGTAGCTAAATTCCAATCATGAAATACAAAGTCTATTTCATTGGATGCTGTTCCCTTCAAACAGGTCATCATGAGGATGAAGCAAAAAAGCAAGTATAGGTTTAGCACCCCTAATCTGGAAACCCTAAATCCAAAATGTTCTCAAATCTGAAACCTTTTGAGTGCTGACATGAGGTTCAAAACAGATTTAGACTTTGGAGCATTTTGAATTTTGGAGTTTCAGATTACAGAGAGGCAACCATCCCCAAATCTTAAAAACTCTGAAATCTGAAACACTTCAGGGCCAAGTATTGTGTATAAAGTATACTCAATGTGTACACCTAAGGTTTCTAGCTTGTGTATATAAATTCTAAAAAAATTAATAAAAATTTAAATGCAGATTTCAAAAAAATCAGCATTCAAAAAAATTCAATCTATAGCTTCCACAGGAAAGAGTAGAAAAGTTATTAAAGCATAGAGGATAGCTTAATTGCGTGTTCTTTCCCAATGTTATAGAAACAAAGGAGAAAAAACTTTGGGGGGTGGGGGAGTATTAATGGTAAAATTTGGGGAGCTCTCACAAAAAGGGTGAGAAAGCAAGGTGTTCCAGCCCATCGCCTCTCTGTATGAACCTGGCGGGTCCGGGTAGTGGCACCTGCCAGCCTGTAACGGTCAGACACCGGTTCTTACCTCCACGTCAAAGAGCGTCGACCCATAGCCAGGCCACTCTTTGATCAAGGCCATGTACTTGGCCATGGCCTGCTCCTGGTTCATTCCCTGAAATTTCTTCCACTTGTCAATAATACCGGCTCGAGCAGAGCAGACCTCTTCCTTAATCCACATGTCCAGCGTCTGCTCCTCCTCGATCTTCTGCCGCAGGACAGAGCCGGTGCGGAAGCTCCGCCTCAGTGTCCCCTCCAGGAAGCTTGTCCGCCTCTTCTCCAGCCTCTCGCCAGGGGTGAAGCTTTTGGTCGACTGGCTGATGCGAGACTTGAGTCTCTGCAGGGAATAAACCTCTTCCAGAGGTGGGACTGCAGCGAGCAGCGTAAAATCCCCCTGCAGGTACTGGAGCCGCAGGGCAGCGAGAAGCTGGAGGTTTTCTTCAGGGGCTGGGTGGTGGCCGTGGATTACTGCTTCATGGGCCTGAAAGAGGTGGCAACAACTCTGTGATTGTAAGACTGCTTTCAAACGCCACCTCCCTGCCCATCCTGTGTAAATCCCCTCTTTCCCCTTGCTGCTTTAAACGTGAATTCCTCCCTAGCCCAGGTATCACTGAACACACAGCATATTTTTTATTCCTAAGGTCTGTCTCCCTCAAACTAGAATAGTTCTCGGCAAAGAAGTTTAAACAAAATGTGTGGAAGTTTCATTCTGCATTGGAATGAAGGAGCCACTTGCCTTTGTGCTCCTTGCTGGAAATTCTATGGTCATGCATATTTCTAAGAACTAGAAGCTAAGGTATGGTAGCAGGTTTTTCTCCTGCTTCCCAGCAAGGGAATCTGTTTCTAAGAGTTCCTTTTACCTGTTCAAACATAAATGCGAACTCCACACTGTCCTTTGGGACGTTGTCTGTGTCCAGGAAGCAGTAAAGTTTGAAGTAGAATTTCCATGGCAAGTCCCCTGCTTCTGATGAGGCAGCCAGCCTACGGACAGAGCCATGAGAGACTCAGAGCAGAGGGGGAGATGGACCTTGGGTAACCCACAGGGGGCTAACTCTCTCCAGGAATGAAGACATCTGTCCATGCTCAGGTGACAGTGGGGGTGGACATGGGGATGGGGGAACAAACAGAGCAGCAAGAGGGGGCTTATCAGAATTCCTCAGTACTTTTATCTAACTGAAACATTTTCATCCTGGCCTTGCCTCAAAAACAAACAGGACGTTCAAGTGTGTCGACACTGATTTTCAGAGGGCCCTAGTCTAATTAGCATCAGCTAATTAGAATCCATAGAAAGGAAAGAAAGCAAGCTTATTTCTTCATTTCCTTAACCAACTGCCAAATAAATTATAGTAATGTTTATAAAAATCGATATGCATATCCTTATAAGGGACTGTGGTCATAGGATTCTTCTGTGTTACTTAGGAGATAGTAAGTCCAAGATCAAATACTGTATGGCATGCTATTCTAGACACATTTCATGCTGTAATATAAAAGGTAGTTCGAAGAACTTGTAAGTCTAGCTGCCTAATTTCAAAACTTATGATAATGACAACTTCAATGATCAATAAATTCCAAGAGCACAACAAAGAGCTGAGAGAGTGAAGAGGGTAAATTAAATCACCTTTGACAACATAGCCTTGCCTAGGTATCAGGAAACACACTAGAGTGATGGACAGTTAAACAGTAACTCAAATACACAATGAAGCCAAACAGGGATTAGAAGTGCAAACCTACAAGCCTTGCTCTTGATTTCATCTACTTGCTCTTTCTGCACTTTAGGGAGGAGGAACTTACTTTTCAAACTTTGCTAAAACGTCAGCTACGATGGTTCGGCTTTCAATGGCCTTGTCCATGTGCCCATTGTACTCAAACAAGGCGAACATGTTTCTGCTGTCCTCCATAGCAAGGCCCCGGATCAGCTTCTCCACCACCTAGAGGACACATTGGGAAGCCTTCAGCCCAGAAGCCATGGTCTGAGCACATCTAGAATTTGTTTCTATAATGTTCTGCATCTAAACCCTGACACTGGCACAGGCACGAGAGAGAGGTGTCCAAGTAGCCAAAAGCTGCCACATGTGGGATCACCCAAAGAATCTCAGATGCCCTGTTTTCCCCTTTATCTCTTCCTTGCCACACAATAGGGTATTTTGCCCATTAGTAGGGACAGATGTCGGGCCAACTTCTTGCAAACGTGCTTAGCTGGAGAAGTGGATGGAACCCTGAAGTCCTGTCTTCTAGCCGATAAGGTCGTGGATTCCAAGAACAATAATGACTTCAAATGATGCTACTTCCAAACAAGAAGGACTGTGGGTAAACTGCACTTCTCCTTCCAGCCAATGTTTTTTCACAATTCTAAGCTTAAATGTAAAAAGGAAAATGTGTTCATTTGACCTGACATTGTCAACACTTATGTGGCAAACAAAAACACCCCTGTGGCAGAAGTGACACAATGCAACCTTGTCACAACAGCATGCATGAGTCTGGTTTGCTGCCTCTACCAGAACTCAGCTGTGTCTCAGATTAGCAGTATTGTCTCAACAGACTTTGGCATGAATTCAACTTTGTGTTTCTGCTTATTGTTAATATTTTTATCTCTACGTACATGTGGTTGGTTGTGGGTTGCATTTATTTCCTTCCTTATTGACTACTGTGCATGATAGCTACACTCTAGTTATGAGTAACCCTGATAACTTAGGGCAGGTGTGCGGCAAATAGAATGGGGAGTGCAGATTGTCCCTCACCTCCCCAGCTGTGGTGTGGGAGTTGATGGTGATCTTGCAGGAGCCTCCGCCATGGCAGTACACTGTGGACGTCATTTCTTGCCTGTGGATTAGAGCTTCGATTTCATCCCGGGAAGGCACAAACTCTCTGCATTTGGTTTTCTTAAGAGATTCATAGATGAAGAGGGCGTATTTTTCCATTTCGGTTCCTGGAAACTGTTCCCGTATCCTAGGAGACAAAGGTGAACCATTAATTGTAGATAGAGGATGGCAGGTTACAGGCATTGGGCTGTGGGAAGGTTCTGCAGCCCAAGGAAGTGAATGGCCCCCTAGTGGTGAAGGGAGCAAATAGCAGTGGCTTCCTGGTGAGGGCCCAGCTCATACTGTACAGCTAGCTTCATTTTAAACAGGGAAAAAATAAAGTCAGTGTTTGTCTCCCTCTGCAGTGCTATTAATACTTGAAAGAATCATGTTTGTATTGTCGTATGCATGTTGTTTATTCACAGTTAATCAGAATAAGTAGATTTTAGTTACTCTTGTCATACACACACACTGAGATATGGAATCTGATTCACTATAATATCTAACCATATCCCATAATTTCATACTGTAAGCTTCCAATAGACCCATACAATTTAAAAAAAGTAAGTGAAATTAAAAATAAAACTCAAATATTAAAAAAAAATCCTGATTGGAATGTTTCCACCTGTTTAATGTGCAAGAAATACCCAAGTTGGGCTTTTCTCTAGTTACTCAGCACAGTGGTAACTAAATGTGCCCACCATCCTATACATTAGGACAGCACCAAAAGTGACTGGGTCCCTGACATGGCCCTGTGCAGCTTAGAGAGAGAAAGGACACCTGCATCCTGCAAGGTTGCTTGAGTGACCTAAGTGACCTGAGTCTGACCAAGAAGTCTCTGCCCTACCCTGTAAGGTGCTCAGTAAGGGAGCTGGGACCACCATGCCTCCCACATAGATAGCTCAGCCCACTGCTTTACCTTTTCAGGTGGAACTTGAGGTACTTAAGGATCCCCCTGCTGGGCAGGAAGGTGCAGCTCACGCATGTCAGGATCTGCCAGCTGTACAGGTTGCCTGTGCTGCCAGGATGTGGCACCTTGTTTGTCTGTTTGATGAGCTGACAGTACAGCTCGTCCCGCAGAGGCCGGAGGTCATGCCCTGTCTGTAGGATGCCCTGGATTATGGGAATGGGGTCAGACATTGATTCCAGTTGCTGGAGGGAGTTGAATATCTTGATAGCTTCGTCCTGAAGAGTAGTGTAGCCTTTGTCTTTGAGCACTAGGAAAAGCAAACAAACAGAAGTCACATGAGGGGCTCAGAAAAGGAGAGTGCATACAGAAGGTGATGAAGGAATGGGTGGGGACCACAGCCATTTCCTGAAACAGTGCCCATCCTATTCCCTCTACCTTCCAATCAGCTAAACACAGTCAAAACACAGAGGAGGATGAGTTACACTGTTTGGTCATATAATTGAGCTTTTTAGCACAAAATATGATTAAGTTGAAAGCTGGCTTGTGTCTGAGTGGGTTTCATACTTGGAATGCAAAACTGTTTAGGATCCCCTTATTTGGTGCAGAGGATCCTTAATTTAAGATGGGCTTATAGCTATTGTAACATGAAAAGTCATTAAGTCAAAAATGCATTTAATAGGCCTAACACTGAACACCACAGCTTGGTCCAGCATGCACCTAAAATGTGCCCGAAACACTTAAGTGAGCCTACAGTTGGGCACAATCATGTAACACAAAGCCCGCCCATTTTCTACTGAGTGCTGAATATCCCATATAACTTACTGAGTACTGCACTGAAGGTGAAAAACAGACTGGCTATGTGGGCAGACTTCCATAACATGGTAATACAGGCACATCTGAAGTCGGAAGCCCTGTTAAGTCACTGTCTGTATTCAAGGCTTGTCTGGTTTCATGGGGAGGGCTGGCATTCTGAATCCTTTTTAAGTCTTTGTTTTAAAAAACACTATGTCAGTCCTTGAACAACAAAAGTAAATTCAAATCCCTGCTTTAGTTGTGAATCGGAATATACTTTACCTTTTCTCCCCTAGTCACAATGACTTAAGAGTCTTTGAGTTAAAACTATGCTACTATGTTCAGCTAAAGAGTTAACAGGGGAACAGAAATCCATAGCCTCTGGGATCCTGGTAGGATTGCAAACTTACAGTTGAGATTGATGTCCCCGTAGGGGAGGGGCAGGAGTGGGGAGTGCAGGGGGTGATTCGTGTAGCGAAGGATCGGGTTCCGTTTGTAGATCTGCTCCACCACATCTGAGTTCAGGCAGTTCTCCTTGAGAGCAAAGGAGGCATTTGAAGAAAGCAAGAAGCTTACTGTAAAAAACATACACCTAAGCCAACAAAATCAACTGTTCTTTCCCATGTCTGAACATTTTTCAAAGCTTCAAACACAAATATTGGCTATTACTGGGGCAAAGGCAATGGGAATTTGTGTTGATTTCACACACAAAGAGAACCACAGTTTGCATTCGAAGACAAATCGCAAAATTATCTCCTTACACAAGTCATTCTCTTTGCTTCATATGTATATATTTTCCTGTGTTATTTATTAAAATTCCTCTGGAGATTATATATATAATTTCAACTTCTCTTTCTTGATTGGGCCAAATCATGTAGCTAAATCAAATGACCCTCATCTATAATCCACTAAAACTAGATTTTGTGGAGCCCGGTGCTGGTGGCATATGCCTGCAATCTTAGCTTCTTGGGAGGCCGAGATAGGGAGGATCACAGTTCAAGGTCAGCTTAGGCAAATAGTTCTGGAAGACTCTGTCTTCAAACTACCCAGAACAAAATGGGCTGGAGGTGTGGCTCAAGCAGCAGAGCACCTGTCTTGCAAGTGCAAAGTTCTGAGTTCAAACCCCAGTCCCACCAAAAAAAAAAAAAAAAAAAGTTAGTTTAATTGCTCAATTAAACTAGTTTTTCAATTTTATTGAAAATACAAAAGTATTTCTGTGCACCTGAAAACTACACACTAATGTGTTTGAGGGGAGACTCTTCGTCCTCACGGCTGCCTGCCCTGAAATGTGAGACATCTCACAGAATGCCACCATGCACTGATGGACTATGAAAGAGCCAAGTTACTTTTAGAACTTTAAATAAACAGAAAAGCCGGAGGAGAGGCACTGAGTCATTCCTTCATGGTAATTTCATTTCCGCTATGAAACTTTCTCAGTAACACTCAATTGAAGGGCAGGAAGAAAATTTAGATGACTTAAGACATTTTCAGTGGACTTAATTAGGGCAACTTGTCTTGTTTCTTAAGAAGTATTATTTCATATCTGGAAATTTCTATTTATTCTTTGAATGTCTGAATTTGTAATTAGAGAATGTAAAAATAGATGTGACACAACTTTGACAAGAAAGTGTGGCTGATATGATTTCTTTTTAGTTCCTTTCAAGGCTAAAAATGTATGGCTTCCCCTGGATTCTATGGAAAGTTTGGAAGAGTTTCAGAATAACTGTCCTGTTAGACTTTGGCTCTAAATTCCCAGACAACAGTTATCATTTTGGAATCGGGAGGTGACTTGGATTTGGTGGGGAGTTATACATTGCTGATGTATTTGTCCTTCTCCCACCCCTTGAAGGCAGAGTTTGTCTCCTAGAGCCCACTGCTTACTTTTCTTTGAGGCACATGATAAACACCCGCCTCACTATCACTTTAGTGTATCTCTGCTGCCCAGTCTAGCTCTTCTCTCTGCCTGAGACTTGCCTGCATGGGTGACAGCAGCATACCTAGTCCCTGACTGCGCTGACAGCTCTGTGAGCAACGCAATCATAACATTCTGAGTCTCCATTTCCATTCCTGGGAAGTGAGTGTGATGGTCATTGCTCATGGCGGCCATTTAATCTTTGCTCCCTACAGAGTAAAAATTGAGCTGACCCTATACTGAAGTCTTCATAGTCAGGGTAGACTCTGTGAGCTACTTCTGGCTCCACTCTCTTACCTTGATATCCTGGATCAGCTGCTGGGTGGGGGTGTCAATTGGGGCCTTGGTGTCAGTCACATTTTGAATGGCGCTGGACCACCTGGTGGCCTCATTGAGTAGCTTGGTATAGAGCCGGTAGCAGTGCTTGCGCCCATAGACAGTGACATTCCAGTAGCCTGCATGGACATTGGCAGTGCAGACATTAAGGCTGACTAGGTATTCAGTGACAAACAAAAACATGCATCCTTTGCCAGGTATGGTGGCATCTGCCTCTAATCCTAACACTGGCAGAGGCAGGAGGATTCTGAGTTCAAGGTCAGCCTGGGCCACAGTGAATTCTAGGCCAGCCTGGACTATATAGTGAGAATGCTGGGGTTTGATCCCCAGCACTGGGGTAAAAAACATGTAGTCCCTCTACAGTCCTTTGAACTGCAGAGTTTATACAAGAGAGGAAAAGACAAATACTAAATAATAAACATAGATATTAGATATTCATTACATAAACTTTCTCTCTCAAAGAAAGAGCAGATATAGGCTAATGTCTCTTTCTAGGCTCTGGAACAAGAGTGAAAACATCCTGGAGATTCTGACTTCCCTCCCACTTCTGCTTCTCCCCTTCGGTCCTCAGTCTCTCCCCTTGGCAGAGAGCACTGTGCTAACAGTGTTCACAGACAAGATGTGTGAACATCACCCAAATCCAATACAAATGGAGTGATTATGTTTAAAAAAAAAAAAAAGCACAAGATTACAACTAGAAATAAAAATCAAAATAAGCAATCTTCCAGAAATGCTTATAAATACCATAAAATAGTATTAGGCTGTGCTAGTATGTCTGCTTTTTATGGACTAGGTCAAGTTTACTGACTGTCAGAGGATTTTACCTTTTATGAGCTACACGTGCCCCTTATGGCATGGTGGTGAAAAGGACAAAAGCACAAAGCTTCCCATAGATACTGTGTCTATTTATATTTTCTTTTCCTTTAGAATTCCTCTATAATTCCATAAATCAAACCTTCTTTACTACAGCTTAAATACTAAGTGTTCACATGGCCAACCACAGACAGCCTCAGGAGACAAATCAAGAGCAGAATTACTTTGGGGTGGGGATGGGGGAATATAAGTACACATTCTAGTATGAGCTTCATTCCTTTGCCCAGAGCAAGTGCAGGCCTGTAACATTTGATGTTGTGAGTTTCCAGCTCCAGCTTGGGGTATGGTTACCTGTCTCTTTGAAAATCTTCTCATCTGGAGGCACGACAGAGCACAGGCTGTTGAGGACGAGGGTGCCCAATTTCAGTGCGTTCTTCTCTGAGCTCTTGTAGTAATCCAGGGAATTGTGCGTCAAGACAAACCACCGTTTCTTCAGTTTCAGTGAAGACATCTTTGGGCTGTTCTTTACTTCTTTGTGCAACCATCCTGGAAGGGAAGATTCAAATGAGTTCAAAAGTATGAAGAGGAGTTTGGGGGTGTAGCTCAGTGGTAGAGTGCTTGTGTGACACACATGAAGGACCTGAGCTCCAACCCTAGTACAGGGTGGAGGAGTGGGACCTACAAAGAGAAAAAATCTAAATCCTATAAAGAGATACCCCAAGTACCATACAATCATTTACATAATGCTTACAGAAAATGGCCACAATCACTGCTTATTTATAACTTCAAAAATCATGCCAGGCACGGAGGTGCACACCTGATCCTAGCACTCAGGAGGGAAGGTAGTAGGAATGTGAGTTCAAGGCCAGCCTGTGCTACAAAGCAATGCCCGGCTCAAAAACACAAAAGCAAAGAAAGAAACAAAAAGCTTTTCAAGAATCAGTGAGTTAGCCAGGAACTGGGGCTCACCCCTTAACCTTGGCAGCTTGAGAGGCGAGAGTGTGAGGACCATGGCTCTAGACCAGTGTGAGCAAACAGTTTCTGAGACCCCCATCTCCAAAATAGCCATGGCAAAATGGACTGGAGCTGTGGCTCAAGTAGTAGAGTGCCTGCTTTGCAAGCACAAAGCCCTGAGTTCAAACCCCAGACCCAACAACAACAACAAAAAAAGTCAGAGACTCAAAACACCTGCTCAACATAGAAATGCTACAGGTATCTCGTGCAAAGGAAAACGGGAGTTCCTAAAAAATGCGGTGGGAGCATTGACAGCAATCACCTCTCACGATAAATTCCTGGCCCTCTACCCGGGTGTCCCCCTTGGATCTCTGCAGCAGTGTTATCCAGTGGTGCATCTCCTCAGGCGTGTCAGCGTTGCAATGCAGCACCCGGTTGGCTGTGATGATTACAAATGAGTTGGGCCTGAACGACAGGGTGAGAAGGAAGCAAAGCGCCTTAGTCCCACCGTCAGCATCACCTCCCTCTGCCTTTTTCCTGGCTTATGGGTCAGAGAGAGACACACTGCTATGCTATTTGTATTTTATATCAAGGCAAGCCTTACTCATTTCTGTGGGATTTACTTTATGCATCATTAACCTTTAAACTTGGAGCAACACATTCATTTGGAAGATCCTAGGAGGGAAAACATTTCTTCATGCAAAACTTTCCAGATGAGACTCAGTTCCGGGAAGGCTAAATAAGGTGGCCGTGGGGGAAAATTTTTTTTTGATGCTTCTCCAAAGACAATTTCTTTCTGCCTTTGGATATTGCCTGGAATAATATTTCTGTGGGTCAGGAATGAAATATCAGATACTAGTAATAGAAGAGGATCAGTAAATAGGTGTAAGTGAAACATTTTATCCCTTGATTATGCCTGGTACAAAAAGCCAATTGGGTCCATGTTTTTCAAGCAACTCAACAAGGGTGCATTTCCCAGCAAGGGCTGAAGTGGTATTTGTACAGTTGGGAAGGAAGAAGGATGGGCCCATGAAGAGAAAAAAGTCAAATAAGCAGGATGCAAAGTTCTAAGCATGGACTTTCATGTGCCCAGCCTGCAGGAGTGAGGGGGATCAGCAGAAGAATGACTTAGGTTAGGTTAGGTAGGAATCTAAGAAGAATCTAGGTTCCGATTGCAGATATTACACATGCATGTGAATGCTTCCTATGTTGGATCTAAGATGGGACAGGTTGACTTTCTGGAAATAAAGGAGACATGGCTCAGAAGACCCCCGAGGAGGAGGGTAGGCAAGGAGACTCTGGAGCTCTCACTGACAGCAGATACAATTTTTTATGGTCAGTTTTAATATACTCATATTCACTTTCTGGCTATCTTATGGGGGGGCAGAAGTCAGTTTTAATCCTGATTCTGGTCCTAGAGCAACTTTTCTGAAAGTCTGCTGAGGGCCAGGAACAGAATTTACAAGCAGCAAAGATAGATGGACCATAAAGACAGAGCTCACTAGACACAGACTCAGAAGATGATCTGCTTTCAAAAACGACAAAGCCCCAAATGTGCTACTTTAAGGGCACAGTGAAAGCAGCAATGCCACAAGGCTGTGGCTTAATTTACTGAGACTCTACATGTCCACTATTACCAAAATCCTTTTCATGTTTATTTTCAAGTTTAGAGAGGAGCACTACCCTCTCCCTATGCTGGAATACTGTTTTCCTAAACAGGCACTTCTTTCCTTTTTCTTGGTCCTCCATCCAGACAAAGAATATTCCCCTTAAAAAAAAAAAAGAAAAAGAAAAAGAAAAAACCACCGTCTAAATCAGGTTTCCCTTAGCACTCCAAAGTCAGCCAGAGAAAGATTTGCAGGTGATGTTGATTGGGTCCCAAGAGGAGAGACTACAATGTAGAGGTTGCCAAGGTGGGAACACACAGCCAGCAAAGGGGGCAGTGGCCCAGCCACAGAGAAACCTATGGCACATGCAGGTGCTTGCTTCCCTTGTTAAAAGTCACATGGGAGATTACCTATCAGGGCTGTCAGAGGCGCACACGGAATCAATCAGCCCCACATCCAACGTGCCCTGGAAAGGAGCAAAAATAGAGAGTGAGGGAAACCACCAGAGCACTGCACATTATGGCACTGTCCCTAGATTACAACTCCTTGAATGTATGAACCAAAAAGGAGGCTTCTTTAAAGTGAACTGCAAAATAACAGTTATCTAAAAAGTCCCCTTCCTTTCATGAATACAGACAGCCTTAAGACAGGCCAGAATATGCATACCATTCCTTAAAATATCATGAACTCATCATTCCCTCTTACTCCTAAAAAATTTTCAATGAACAGTGATTTGAGCTTCTTCCAACAGTATAAGTCTTCTGATTTATATCATGGTATTTCACTGGATTGCTCTTATGCATAAGCCTTTATTTTTTAAAACAGGATTTTATGACTTTGTATATGTGTCTGTGATGGGGTAAAAACAGAAGAATACAACTTACAATTCATCAAGTCCTTTGAAGAGAAAGTGTTATATGCTTGTATGATGTCATATAAAAATTGCAATTTTTTTTCTTCTAAAGGTTTGAAGTGGGAGAATTAGGATTCTAACCTATAATTTTTTCCTGTGTATGATTTTTAACCCAACTGGTCTCGGTGATCTCTTTAATTTTTATACTTTTACTTAAAAAACAAAAGATTATCTAGAAATCCCCAGTCTTGCCCTTTTCCCATCCTGACTTCCTTCCGCCTCCACCCCAGCCAATGCTTACGCACCACAGCATTTTGTGGGTTTGCCTGCTCGTCGTGCATTTCCCGGATCTCCTGGTCTGTAGATGCATGGACCTGACTCAGCACACTGAACCACTGGCTATGGAAAGAGAGGGAAACTGTCAACAGTGGCCAAAATTCTGCATTGGCAAAACAATGGCATCTTTCTCCCTGTTCTCTATGAAGACATCTCCCCTGAGCCTCTTTGCTTTGACTTTGCCTCCTTCTCATGGGCAAATGTGAGAGTCATACCATCCAGCAGCAAAGTTAGAAAAAGTAGCTAAAGCACCTTTAAGTACCATGTGTTCAATGGAAGTCCCTTCCCTCCAGTCTCCACAAACCCTCACAGACATGAGCTCCTTGAGAAATCAATGCAATTATCAAATCTTCCTCACTACCAATCCAAAATATTTATAAAGGATATTTACTGAATATTATACTTGTGCCCTAGAGGACATCCATGTGCCTTTCGCTGTTTGAAAATAAGTCTGAATGCAAGAAGGTCATTCACATAAAAGTAATCATCTTAGAACAGCTATTTTTTTGCTAGTATTGGGATTTGAACTCAGGTCCTTGCACTTGCTAGGCAGGTGCTTTGCAGCTTGAGCCATGTCCCAAGCCCTCAGAACAGATGGCTAGATGTCTATACTCATTTCACAATGGAGCTTCCAACCACCCGACAGGATTTTTACTCAAGTAAATAAAGCCATAGGAATGATGGAAATCAAAAGCAATTGCTTGAAGTAGAAAACACACACAAAAAAACTATTTTGACCAGAGAACATCTCCATCTTCATTTCAAATCAGTTTTCTCACTTCTAGCTTCATCAGAATCAAAAAAGAAAGGAAAACATATTGTCAGTCCCAGAAAAGCCAAGCAGAATGGAAGTCCTGCTATAACTAGAAACATAAGACATGAGGAAAATGATCATGAACACCAGGCCACATTAACCAAGCAACTAAGATTGTGAGAGGTACCAAATGTAAGAGAGAAGTGAAGGCACCCTTCTTCCATCAAGAACTATATGACGCTCCTACTAAACAATACTAAATCACACTTGGTATGTTATGGGATACTGAAGTGAAAAAAATCACACCCATAAGTAAAGATAAGTGGGCTAGAGGCGTGGCTCAAGTGGTAGCGTGCTTGCTTTGCAAGTGTGAAAACAAAGCAAAAAAAAACTTGGATAACTAAAGGTAGGTGATGTAACTTATTTACAGTTAAAAAAAAAAAAAACACACAACAAGAAAAACCCTAAAATCTGTCTCCTGTGATTCCTGAAGGAGAAAAATGTCACCAAAGGCTTGAAAATATCCTATATGTACAGACTTTTTGGCAGACCAAGGGAAACACCTTCATATGACCTTGCCCTATCAATCCTGGCCCAGCAGTAGGCCAGCCTGTAGTCATTACTTTTCTAAGCTCAAAAATCTTGCAAAACACATAAACTTAAGACGTATGCCACACAGAATCTCTCTCTCTCTCTCACACACACACAGAAGAATAAATTTTGCTGTATTTTCAATTTCTGTTGATACTCTTAAATTCATAAACTTACTTTTTCTGAATCAAGTACAAAGTAAAATCTGAAATTTTAAAAAATGTGTTTGACTGGTCAGGGGAAAAAGTCCTTGACTGAAATATTCCAAATGTTAAATTTAGCAGGTTCATTATGGCGTAAAACAGACAGGACAGATGCCAAATGCCTGGCCTATAATTCAGCTGAAAAGCTGCAGGCATTCTCTGGACCACAAAAACCCACACATGGTCTCTAGGAGGCCCAGACAGAATGTAGGGACTGTAATTTCAGGTCTGCTTGTTTTTCCAGTTTGTGTTATAATTTATGAGTCCAAGCAGGACTTCAGTTTTTCCCATGGGAAGAATTACTTTCTGGTGTCTTTGCCCTTAATGCTGCAACCACGGTGTAGATTAACTTAAAAACACTCAAAGGGCAAGGGACAGGGAGAGGTCCTGAGAACTCACCAGAAGGTTCTAATGACTTTTGGGCTGAGATCTGAAGAATATAGGCCATGGGATGTTACTCTCATAAATTACAACCTAATGATGCTCACAGCAGATAACGGTCCCCTCCACCTGAACCCTACAAGACCTGCAAAGTCACAGGAAGAGACATGGCAGACACTCCACTGTGCGCTATCTACTATGGGGCCTTGTGATGTGTCTCACTGAAAAGCAACTATCAGATCTCTTTACCTTCATGCTCAATGTACTCAGCTCTCTAACATGGAAACCTGAGGTTCCAAAAAAGTTAGACAACTTGCCCCAGCCAGTGAAGACACAACTTTCCCCTTATGCTGGTCAAAAGTTCAAGTCCCTTCAGAGAGAAACACAGGAGGCTTCATACACCACCATCACAAGAACAGAACTTGCATTCTACTACAAATTTTGCTATCCTTTCTCCATTCCTCAGTCCTGCTCTGCAAAGTACAAATAACAGTAACACTAACACCTACTCACAGGATTGTCATGGGACTTCACTTAATATATGCGTTGCAATACAGCAAGTTCTATGTAAGCTAATCTCATTCATTGAATGCTTCAATGTGGAGACTTTTAAAGCCCTCCAAATGCCACAGCACTATCATTTATTAAACAGCCACTGGTTACTCTCCTACTCCCCATTCAAATACAAACTTCCAGAAGCAGGGCTTCCAGCTTCATTTGCCCACACTGCAAGTGACAATAAAAGCCAGAGCTGAGATAAACAGTGGTCTGTCTAGTGGCATGTGAAGTTGGAAATCCCGACCCCGTGCCGTACTTGGACACATCTGTCTTGGCAAGACTTCCCAAGGGACACTACATAAATCTCTTAAGACTCTCGGTTCCTCAATCTTCTTCATAGAAAAACCCAGCCAGAAAATTAATTAAAACCCTTTTTAAGCCAGTAAGGTAAACACTGCTCTGTGTGATGCTTACGCCGCAGGTGGGGGGCGGATGTGGCTAAGATGAAGTTGATAGCGCAGACCTTACCTGGCATCTTCTGGTGATTCGGCGATCAGGTGGAAGGTTCTATCGGCCATGATGATATCAATTCCATTCTCTTTGCTGGTATTATCTATGATCTCTCTGCAAAGAAACAGAAGCAGCCAATGGAAATCACAAAATGTAGAATTCTTAATGATAAAAGCAATTTTATGAAACAAACTGGAAACTTGCTAAAGAACTTGTTTACATTGGTCCCCACTTATCCAAGACCCCCAGTGGATGTCTGAAATGCAGACAATACTGAACCCCAAATATATATATATATATATATATACACACACACTTTTTTTTCCCTGTATGGGTTGCATATTCCTTCCCCAAAATGCTTGAGAGCAGAAGAATTCTGTATTCTGGAATATTTATATATACACAATGAGATGGCTTCGGAGTGAGCCCAAGTCTAAACACTAAATGAATTTATGTTTCATATATACCTTATACACATAGTCTGAACATTTTTTTCGTTGTTTTTTGCATGTGGTTTTTGGAGCTGGGTGTCGAAACCAGGGTCTGACTTGCACCAAGCATGAACTTTAATACGGACCTATGCCCCCAGCCCCTCAAAGGTGATTTCACACCGTATTTTTAGTGTGTTTGCATTCTGACTGTGACCCATCATCTGAGGTCAGGAGTGGAATTTCCCACCGTGGCTTCAGGTCACACTGTCTGGAGCATTTCAGATTATGAATTTTCAGATTAGGGATGCTCAAACTATACATACATATCTATGATAAAGCTTAATTTATGAATTAGGCATGGTACCAGCTTAAAAACAGTAATTGATAACAGAATAATTGTAACAATATACTACAACAAGTTATGCAAACATAGTCTCTTTCTCTCTCAAAATAAGAAATTTTCCAACTAATATTTTTAGACCTGGTTGACAACAGGTCACTGAAATAGTGGAACCAAAGATTGGGTGGGACTAAAGTACCTTTATTAGCACTGCTTTTTTAAAAAAAGACAAGGATTCTTGTCACCTCTTTGGGAGCTAGGCTCCTCTGCACTCCAAGGATAAGGTCTGCTGGTATATGCATACATGGGAGTTCAGGGTGTTTCTTTTGGTTTCTCTAGGGAGGGTGCTATTGGGCCCACCCAATGCCTACCTTCCCAGCCCCAGAGAAGTGTTCCTTGGGCTCCTGTTTCTGACCTACAGTGGAAGGAAAACCCAAGTGGTGTAGTGCTGTGAGCTCTTTCTCTAATTTATCACAGAGCTGTGGTTTGAATGTGACCTCCAAAACATGTGTTGGAAACTCAATCCCCAGTGCAACAGTGCTGAGAGACAGGCCCTGTAGGAGGGGATTAGGTTAGGAGAGCTCCACCCTCACAAACAGATTAATGCTGATTACAAAATTACTTGAGGCTGCAAATTCCATTTCTTACTCTCAATTTCCCTCCAATGGGATGATGAAGCAAAAACACCCTGGCCAGACATATCCCCTTAATTCTCGTCCTCCAGACCGTGAGCCAAATAAATCTCTGTTCATTATAAATTATCCAGTCTCAAGTATTCTGTTATAGCGTCACAAAATGACTAAGGCAGCAGCTTTCCATGGAAGCTTAAGGCCTTGGCTGATGTCTGGCACATACTCTCCCTGACACAGACACACTGTTTCCCTCTTAGGCTCTGAGGGAAGGGCAGGATTTGGTCTTCCTGGGTTTCAATATCACCTTGATCTCATCCCAACACTCCCTCAACACCAGAGACTTAACACAGGGATGGATCAACAAAATCAGGGTAAAAATATACCAGGTGTTAGGATCTGACCCAGGGTGGTAAAATGTTTGATGTAAGAATGGTCTTGGGGTAAAGCCAAAATACTTTGACACCTAAAGTGGTACACTTGCTCCTAGTAAAATATTTATTTTACATCAACAAGACTAAAATAGTCTAACTGGTTAGAAAGAATAAACATTGTATGACCTTATTGCTAGAATCACTGAAACAAGATAAATACGTCTCTTTAATAGAGAAACTCAGAATTGGTAGTGTAGTCTGTGCTGCTTCCTTTGGGTGGAAGGAGAGAAGGGACTCTTCAACAGAAAGAAACCTGAATGGGTCTGCCCTCTAGGGCTAAGCATCAATTCTCAAGGAAACTGGGGGAACGAGAACCAGGTTCAACAATGCATGGCATATAACACTGAAGTCTAGAAACCTTGGATAAGTGAGGTAGAGTCTTCAGTTACAGTTAGCAAGTGAAGAAAAGATGGAGGGGGGAATCTGCAAATTAAGAGACCTTAGTAATCTAAAAACCAACCACAAAGTTTAGACCTAATCTGGACTCTGACTTGAAGAAAGAAACTATAAAGCCAACCCAAACCAACAAGTAACTTCCATTTGTGAGACAAATGTGGGAAATCTGAACAATGACTGGATGTACTAGTAGTACAAATTATGTTCCAAAAAGAACCCGTAAACTCATACTAAAATATTTACAGAAGAAATTATATGATGTCAAAAACTTGTTTTAGAAAAATGTATTTGGTCAGGACAAATGTGTACGAGATGCTCTTGACCATGGGTGGAAAGCCACTGAAAGCTGGGTGATGAACACATGAGTTTTGTTATGTTCTTCTATCTACTCTACACATGACTGAAAATTTCAAAATGAGAAAGAAGAAACTTATTGTGAAACCCTAGCTCACTGGCACTGTTCTACAGAATGCAATGGCAGTGCTGAGAGCAATCATTTCTGTAACTCAGTATACTCTTGACAGAGCACCTGGAGAACAGGGTTTTACTAAAGAGCATAGTGTAAGTTGCAAAATGGACATAGGACATCCCCTGGTATCAGTGGGTTTCAGGATCCACCAAAATCTGAGAGTGTTTAAGAAGTTGCTTATATAGAATGGCACGTTATTTGCATATAATTTATGCTGGTTCTCCTATATACTTTTTTTTTTTTTGTGGTACTAGGGCTTGAACTCAGGGCTTTTAATGATGAGTAGTTTTGAAATAAGTCTCATGAGCTACTTGCCCAGGCTGGCTTTGAATGGAATCCTCCTGATCTCTGCCTCTTGAATAGCTAGGATTACAGGCATGAGCAACCAGTGCCCAGCTTCCTATATACTTTTAATCAATTCTAAATTACTTATAATACCTAGTACAATGTAAATACTATGTAAAGAGTTCTTATACCATATTGCTTAGGGAATAATAGGGGAGAAGTTTTTATGCATATGTTCAGTACAGATGCAATTTTTTTCTGACTATTTTTGATCCACAGTTGGTTGAATGTGCAGAAACCACCTCTACAGAAGGTCAACTATGTGTCACTTTTCTCTGGTGAAATTCAACCCTCTCTGGGCCTTTTGGCATTTGTGGCCCCATGGGATGAATAAAGAACATCTCAGTCTGCAGAGCTGAGAGACAGAGGGAGATGAGAGCTGCGCCGGCTGTGAACACTTGTAGGATTCAGACCCGAATTCCCTCAAACCCACTCTTGCTTCTAATGAACCCCAAAGAGGCAGCCTGGAACAGTCACAAACTCTGCTGTCTGCACTTCATTATTTGTCCTTAAAATCAAATACAGAGAGGACTTTTCTCTCCTCATTGAACTTTCCATGTTCTCATGAGTCATTTTCCCAAGTTGCTGATTCTAGCTGATGAGAAACAATATTTCATTTTTAAAGCCTCATTATTTCAGGGGTTAAGCTGATCCCTTAAAGCTTACTTTACCACTTTTCCAAATACTTGTGGTTGGCCAGTTTGGAGAGGGGTATGGGTACAGGTTATCCCCAAATAAGTTTTTACGTTTAGTACCTAGCTACCCAACAAAAGCAGACGCCCCTGGTGCAGTATTTTTTGGAAAACATTTTTTTTTTTAACAAAAATAACAGCCTGTCCATAGTCCAAAGCTTTGGTTCCCTATGGGGCTGTCAAAAAAGCAACTATGCGGAATTCAAAGACCAGTTCCATTCTCTCATTGCTGGGAACAGGGAGGCCTAGTATACACAACACAGGTAGAAGACAAATGATTTCAAAATTAAATTCAGCTAATCCATTTGCTGGTTAACAGCCAATGTGAGGAAGTACTCAAAGTGCTAGACTGACCCATTAGAGGACTCTCAAGCCATTGTTCCATGGTCATACCATTTTTCCTGTATTCATACAACTACATTTCTAATAGGCTAGTCATATGTCCAAGGGACCATTCTCCAAATGACAGCCATATATATGTGTGGGTATAATCACAAAAAGCACATTATTCACAAATGAAGTCTTGCTTTCCAGTTTCCTAATTATTCAATCCACTGAGTGAATTGTTAAAATTCACGGAACACTTACTTTAGTCTGCTGTTGCAAGGATACTGCACAATGAAGTTTTGTGTCCATCAGTGGACATGAACATGCAGCCCAGAGCCCCACCCAATGGACCACATGCAGGCTCCATCAACATACTTGGCCGTCCGGACTTCCACAGTGCCCTTAAGCTTCTCCTCACTGTCATTTTCAAAGTACATCAGCTTGGACTGTCGGAGGACAAACCAGCGCTTCTTCCAGTTTCTCCTGGACAGTGTGGAGGAGCCTCCACCTTTTTTGTGCAGCCAGCCTTGCTTGAGGGCCTCCTGCTTGGAGCGGAACCACAGGAAGGTCTCATCCTTGAGGACGCACCAACGGCGTTTCCAGGAGTTCATTAAGCCACCTGTTCCCCAAAGAAGGGGCAGGGAAAGGTTTTAGAAAGGTCAGTCAAACTGGGTGACAACATTAGTAGCAGGTCACAAGGTGCCAATCTTAAACCATTCTTTAACTTTGCCCCAGTTGATGTGTACTCACAGACCCTTTAGTGAAGGAGGGGCTACTGGCTTGGGTTCTGGGAGCACTGGACAGACGTTATTGCAGTTTGGTTGTGTGTGCACAGCAATGTTGCCTCTTCTTTATGTATAAGTCACTTAGCTGAGAAATCTTTTCAAGCTCACAGAAAAGCAGGTAATGAACTGAGAGTCTAATCAGGCAATGAGTCTAGAGTCATGGGCAAGAACTGTTTCTTTATGTAAGGACCATGGTCATTTGGAAGTGCCCCAGAGAAGAGAAACTGTTTTAAGATGGTGTTGAAGTTCATACCTTCTTTCCTTGTTTGGTCAGTGTGGAAACAAGAACTATCACTGATTTTAGAGTTGAGCAATGAAGTCTAACTTCCAGAGTTCAAGAAAATGGGGTGTTTGGGACAAAAACCTCTTTGCAAAGAAGAACCGCATTATCTGAAAATGGTTTATAGGTACAAGGTATAAGATTGAGACAATGAAAAAAAAGCAAGAGGATATTTAGCTGGAATTTACTTAGTGGAAAACATCTTTTAAAATTTGTTTGGGAAATTACTTTTGATTTTTTTACTGATTACATTTTTTACTATGCTGGTCAAAACTACATGTAATGAGTCTGGGAATAAGGGGGGCTTACTGCCCATTTTTTTTTTTTTTTGGTAGCACTGGGATTTGAACTCAGGGCCTCATGCTTGCTCGGTAGGTACTCCATTATTTAAGCCATGCACTCACCCCTAGGAAAATTTCTTTTAATTAAGAGAAATTAGACAAGAATATACAGATGTCATCATTTCTATACCCTCCTAGCAGGATAATGGTAACCTGGTATTCTAGATTTCACAAGGGTATCTTGACACCCTTATTAAAAAATCTTGTGCACTGAAGAACATACTCTACTTTAGTAATTTATTATAAAATTGCCCACATGGTATTTTCTTTTTTGATCAACCAGTACTAAAAATAAGGAAACTTAGAACATTTAAAGTATACACAATACTTTCCTTTTATAGAATGGAAATTAAACTTAACCTACCTTCTCTTTTGCCTTTTGGTTATACTAGGGATTGAACTCAGGGCCTCAGGGAAGCACTCTCCCACTTGAACCATTCCTCCAGCACTTTTGCTTTTAACATTTTTGGTTTTTTCAGATTTGGTTCTAGTACTTTTGCCTGGGCTGCCTTTGGACCTGGATCTTCTTACCTCTGCCTTCCAGGTAGTTGGGATTACAGGAACAGTTTCTTCAACGACTGCAAGAATGACTACAGCTCCAAGCCTCGCACTAGAATGAACAAATGATGGAGAGACAGTCCCCTTGTTTCACTGACCTACATCTGAAGTATTCCCTGATCGCCTGGCTGAGACATCTTGTGTGATCATGCCACAGAGCTGCCTCCTAACACACAGCCAACTTGTCACAGGCCATCAGGAAGAAACCTTATTTTAGGGGGTGCTAACTTTAATCTGTGTTTCTTAAAACATGCCTGGAGAAAAACTGTAGTAGAGAGTTGTTCTATTATCTTATCATCTTTAAGTGATAAGACTTATTCATAGTGTATCAAAGATGGTAACTGCTATCACAGCCACCCTCACCACTAGAGGGTGGAATTTGTTGCTCTTCTGTTCCCTGACTCCATATTTCTGAGTGCTGTCTTGATACTTTACCAGGTAAGAGAATTTGATCAATGCTGTTAATTTCCTAATTGAAAACACTTTCAGTAAGCTATTTGCCTGGTAAAAACTCATCTTTGCCCATAAAATACAAGCTGGTGACTGAATTTTCTTTTTTCCACTGGTTTCTCTGAAAATTTGGGGCATTTTATTCAAGGCTTTATTAAAAATTAAATGGTGTTGCCTGGTGCCGGTGACTCATGCCTGTAATCCTAGCTACTCAGGAGGCAGAAGGAGGATTGTGGTTTGAAGCCAGCCCGAGGCAAATAGTTCATGAGACCCTATCTCAAAAACACTCAATACAAAATAGGGCTGGCGGAGTTGCTCAAGTGGTAGAGTGCCTGACTAGCAAGTGTAAGGCCCTGAGTTCAAATTCCAGTACTGCAAAACTTGTTTTATTAGAAGATACTTCTTCAGCGCCTCCCTAGCAAGTGTGAGGCCTGGAGTTCAAACTTTAGTACCATCTTTTTTCTTAATCTTATTTGTTTTAATTAGACAACTATGCAATAAATTAATGGCACATATTATAAGCAACAGTAATATTATAGGGAAATTTAAAACAAGCTTATGGAACTAAAAATCAGTTGGAGGAAGGGAAATGTGTTTTTGAAAAGCTTGTATCTATTCTATGTGGGAAGTGTTTGAGAAAATTTGACAGTGCTGTGGTTAGAGTCATTGGAGCATTGAGTGCTGGTGGTGGATTAATGGTTTTCCTTTGTCAGGTGTTCCAATGAGCCTTGTGTCTTGGTTAAGAATCCTCCACCCTTTGTCATTCAGCATTCCTATAAAAAGTTACACCAAGCAGTGACTTCAGGCAATAGCAAAGTCTCCCCTCAACTGAACCCGGTGTGGAGCTCCTGAGTGCTACGCACATCTGAGGCTGACAATGGTGAATGTGCAAAGCAAATGACTGACGTTAGTACTTCACAAGGGGCAGACACAGCAAAAGAAATCAACTGAGAAGCAAAACGTAAGAAAGCACAGGGAAAAATACTGAGGGCAAAGGCAAGACACAAAAAAGATAAATACGACCAAAGAAATGAAGAAAGAAGCTACAAGTAAAAAAAAAAAATCATGCACACAAAGCAGAAGAAACAGAAAGCCTGGGGTGGAGGGGACGGGGAAGAAGAAGAAAAGGAAAATTAAAATAAAAATAATGATAGGAGAAAATGGAAAGAAGAGACAAGAAGGGTAGCATAGTCAAGGACATCACCTAGAGATGATGGTTCTTGTTACCAATCCCTGACCCACCTTCACATTCTTGATTCTGTCCCACACCCAGGCTGGGAGCAAGTGAGAAACAAAATAGTCCCCCTCCTTTGACCATCCATGTAAAACTCCTGGCAAAAACTAGTCATGATTATGGCTTCTCACTATCCCTGTCCCTGCGTGAGGAGTCAGAGTCAAGAATGCAAGTAAGGCTTGAGTAGGAGGTCCTAATTAAAACATTTTACAAAAGGTGTATGTCTCAAAGTCCCCAAGTATTAAGGCCCAGTATAATGTTCAACATTTAACAGTAATTGAAATAGATGCCAAAAACTCTCATCACAAAGTGATGTGCAGTGAGCAACCTGTGACCTCATCAGATCTTTACTTTTTCCCCAGCAGTGTAGGCATATACTACTTTGTTCTCTAATTGTGTATGTGTGTGTGTGTGTGTGTGTGGAGAGAGAGAGAGAGAGAGAGAGAGAGAGAGAGAATGGTGAGACATGGAGACATGGGTAAAACACACAGGGGAGAGAGAGACTGAAAATAGAACAGTGATTGCAAACTCTTGTCCTATCATCTGCACTGATCCAGCGAATCGAGGTCATGTCTGTCATAGTCAACATGGGACCGTGTCCTCCATTCTCCTAAGTGGCCTAACACTGAGGTGGGGTGGGTTGAGTGACCTTCACAGGCCCCACTCATCAGCCCAGGGAAAGCGAACTCTCCCCTTCTATTAATGTACTATCCCGATGCAGGCTCCGGGGCTGCAGACCCTACCTTTCATGTACAGGAAGCTGTGGAAGTAAGGCAGTGTGACACAGCTGTACACAGAGTCTCGCCGGTAAGAAAGCTCATCATCAGTGTCAAACCTTGAGTCAAAGTCCTCCTCGCTATCTTCAAACTGCACAAGGGGAGAGAACACAGTAACACTTAAGAAATCCGCAGGATTCATGCCCTTACAACGGAGTACCGCAATCAAAGGAATGCAGAATTACAAGATAACTTTTAGGGTCAAGTGGTCAGTTGAGCTGATATCTAAAACACAAAATATACTTTCATTTCTAAAGGTTCTATCCTAAAAATAACACTGAGGTTTAAGGGTATAATCTTAACCAAAGCATGCAAGAGTTAATCTCCTTTAAATTGGTATGCTAAAAATTTTACCAAGTCTTAGAAAGTAAGGACAGCATTTAATGCATGACCAAAGGGGGGAAAAAAAAATCAAAGTGAACTTTAAATAAATCCAGAAACTGGAAAGAACATATTTAAACCTTACAGATTCTACCCTTATAACCAGTACAAGAAATAACCCCGTGGGCTGTGGCTGTGAGGTTACTGTCAGGAAAGTTCTCTGAAACGCCCTAAGTGGCTCTAGTTCAAGCTGCTATGCAGCAAGACAAAGTGAAGGCTCTTAGGCCTTGGGCAAAATTCAGTTCTGGGCTTTGTGCTCATCCTTGTGACATGACATTCAAGTTCCCTTTTCTGGTGTGACTGGCCTTTGAAAAGACTTGTCTTTGAAAAGAGATAGGGTTCTGGCTATCTTTAAGGACATGACTTTGAAATCTTTGCTTCTAGGGTTATGTCTTATTGCAACTGATGATGGCCGGGGTGCATGGGCCAGCATGCCACCTCCAGGGGACAAGCCCGGGCAGGTACTCACCGAGGACTGCGCCCCTTCGGAGCTGAACCTGTAGGCTCCAGAGCTGTTGTAGGTGCCCACGGAGCAGCGGTAGTCTGGGGACCACTGGCTGCCATAGGAGTTGGAGAAGGTCACGCTGCTGCCGGAGGTGATGGCACCGTCCTCGTAGTCGTCCTGGTCGTAGTCATAGTCTCCGTCGGGGGAGGGGAGGTCGCCGGTGCCCTGGGGCCGGCAGTAGGTGGACTCTCCGCTGGAGGAGTCCTGCAGGCTGGTGGAGTCCTGTAGGCTGGTGCTGTCCGGCGCGCCCGGGGCGCACAGCACCGTGCTGTCCGCGCTGGGGCTGGCGGCCACCACCGTGTCGTTCATGTAGGGGTCCTCCTCCGAGGAGTCGTCGCTGGTCCGGATGCCACTCGTTCGCTGGTCCGAGTGGCCGTGCTCGCTGGGGTTGGGGGAATCCTTAAAGGCGTCGTCGCCCGCCTCGAAACCTTCGTCCACCTCCTCCTCGGGGTACGGCTGGCTGAAGTTGAAGTTGGGCTTCTCTGCGCTCGCGTTCTCCCCAAGTTCACCGGGCTCCCCGGAAAACTCGCTCCCCACCGACAGGGACCGCTCAATGTTGCGGACACACTCGTCGATCTCGTCGAAGTTGAGGGACTCCAGGAACTCCTGGGCCGCCCGGCAGGCCTCGTCCTCCAGGCGGCGCAGCTCCTCGTCCCGCAGCTGCTGCAGCTTCTGCAGGGAGGCCTCGGTCAAGGACAGCTCCTGCTGCTCCTTCATGCGCTGCAGGTCCTCGATCTCCTTCTCCAGACGCAGGATCTCCTCCACCTGCTTGTTTTCCTTCTGCTTCTCCAGTTCCCGGGTCAGCTCTGCTTCCTTGCAACTCTTCTGCAAGGCTTCCAGTTCTTGTTGCTTCCTTGCCTCTTCCTCCTGGACAGAAGAAGAAGGAGGATTTTAGAATGTGGCGCTACAAGAAGTACCAGCATCTTTTTCCCCTTGGCAACCATGATGAAAACATGGTAGTTATGTGCTAAGCTGTGTCCCCTGACATAAATATATTTGGAGACGAGAAGTGATAAGTTAAAATGAGTCTGCATGGTGTCCTTGTAAAAAGAGGACATTAGGGGACAAAGACACCAGGGATGTGCAAGCAGAGAGGAAGGACCATATGAGGACACAGTGAGAAGGCAGTCATCTGCAAGCCACTGAGAGAGGCCTGAGGAGAAACAAAGCCTGTAGCCACCTTGATCTTGCTTCCACCTTCCAGAACCGTGAGAAAATAAATTTCATTGTTTAAACCACCCAATCTGTTCTGCTGTGCCATGGCAGCCTAGCAAACTCACACAATCACTGCACTGGTTTAGAGAAACCCCATTGCTATGATTCTCACTAAATCTTAAGACATTCACTAAGCTTTGCCCAGCTGTAATAGCTTAGAAATTGCATTATAAACATGTCCCTAGGTTGTTCTTCCTGAATCTCTCTACTTTATTTTGGTTTTGAGTCCTATAGTCAAAGTGTTTGAAGCAGAAGGGAAGCAGACAAATAACAGTACAAGTTGTCACAACATTCATCACCTGCTGGGCGCGGAGCTCAGCTTCTTTTCGTGCTCTCTGTCTTTCTCTAAAAACAGAAAAGAAATAAAGAAGGTGAAAATCAACAATAATCCTAGAACCACTTCAGTAAGATCTAACTCCCCCCAGCCCTTTTTGCAGTGCACAAAAACCACTGGAGCTACACCCCAGTCTAAAATCTAACTTCTTAAAAGAGCAAGTTCAAAAGCACGAAGGACAGAGCCTCTCCCTTTGGCTCTGTACTTACTCTGTGTATGAACAGAAATATGCATAGAACTGGGTCTTCAGAGCTGCCAAGGAATTTTACATTCTAGCTGCCAAGAATTACTATTTGTTTCAAACGGAAGACACTGATGGATACTGAAACATGAAACTCAAACTGTAAAGGCACTGCACCTTTCTTCTTCTTCCCGCTTTTTCTTCTCTTCTTCCTCCCGTTTCTTCCTTTCTTCTTGTTTCCGTTTCTCTGCCAGCATTTGCCTGTAAACTCTACGCGCAAGCTGGCCTCTGAGTTGCTTCTGAAACACTATGGCTGCTTTTTTCAGGTGCAAAAATCTCCTCCTCATAAGGAAGGCTCTATAATTCTTCTGTATTGTCACTACACCATAAAGGACCTTTCTGTATTGCTTTCTGCAAAGGAAAATGGAGAGTAGCTGTTGAAGTAATGAGGCTATGAGCTTTTCAGATGAGCTTACATTACAGCTACAAGACAAAAGGAAGGCACCTAGTTTTGGATGATACTCTCATTATGGTGACTAGAGGGAACAAGGAGGCCCTTTGGTCAAAACAAAACAGAGGAAAAACAAAATAATAACAAACCAAAATAAAGTAAGAACCCAGTCACTCTCTTGGCTAAATAAACATATAAACCACCCTAATGCCAACTTTGAATAGCCTGGCATAAGATGGGTAAACAGAAGGAAAGGAGATTTGACATAGTCTCCTACTCATCTGAAAACAACCAATAAGAAAATAAACTACTGCCACACAGGGCAGATCTGAATTTCAACAAATGGAATGCCTAGGGTTTCCTGTGGCCTGCTGTTACACAATGTAGACACAACTAAAATGCCCATGAAAGAAGTTGCCTAAGGTAGGTGCTGGTGGCTAACACCTGTAATCCTAACTACTCCAGAGGCAGAGATCAGGAGTATCAAGGTTGGAAGCCAGCCCAGGCAAACAGTTCACAAAACCGTATCTCAAAAATACCCAACACAAATAAGGGTCGGCAAAATGGTTCAAGTGGCAGAGCCCTTGCCTTCAAATGCTGGTACCACCACCAAAAAGAAAAGAAAAAAAAAAAAGTTGCCTCATCAACTAGATTATCATTATCAACTAGATAATCTACAGACAAAAGATACATGTTGAACATTCCTCATCCAAAATTCTGAAACCTGTAACTTTTTGAGTGCAACATGATGTTCAAAAAATTTCAGCTTCTTGGGACAACGTGGATAGGCCAGTGGTAGAGTGTAGGCTTGGCATGTACAGGATCTGGGTTCAAATCTCCAGGACTGCCAAAAAAAAAAAAGCAGGGCTGAGGGGTGGGGAGAGGGAGACACAGGGGACACGGATGGATGCAGAAAGGATGGACTCTGCAGCATTTTATTTTCAGATTAGGGATGTTCGAATAGGAAAATCCCATGCAAATATTCCAAATTAAAAAAAAAAAATCTCCAAAATCTGAAATATTTTTGGTTCTAAGAATTTTGAATAAGGCATACTGAGCCCCTAACACCAAAGGAAACGGTCAGACTGTTATACCTTTAGTACAGAATGCAAAGGAACTAGGCAAATAATTAAATATCTCAGTAGAACAATCATAACTGAGACAGCGAAGTTGACAAGTGCTTTTCTCTACTTCCTGCCCAGGTCAGGCTTACTGGGTTACAGGAGTGGTGATTTGGGAGGCCTGCTCTAGGATGCCCTCTACATCCATGACACAATGCAGACACAGTCTGCAAAGGGAAGGGGCTTCGTGCCTTCTTCCCTTGGCATGGTTCTTACCGTGCTAAGTAGCCCAAGATGTGGGCTTGGATCACCATGGCTGCCCTGTGAACTTCCTCCTCCCGCCGCTTCTCCAGTTTCTGCTCCAAGGATTCCCGAAGGAAGACCTTCCAGGGAGAGAGTTACATGTCAGGAGCAAATAACGTTGGTGATAGAAGGAATGCATTTCTGAGTCAGGGCTGTTTTGGGGGTAAAACTTGCTTCTTCTTATGTCTGTTGCAAACTCACATGATCACTTGTTCTACAACAGTGCTTGTTAGTTCACCTGTGATGGACTAACACATTTGTAAACCCAATAAAGACATAAGAAAGAAGGAATAAAAGAATATACAAAATTCAATTCTTTGGCTATTACTGTACTCAATAGGAATACAATGACTGTCAAGTTGCTATCCAAGTTTCTAAAGGTTTATCTTATCCTGGGCTAGACATATTACTTCATGGACCAGCACCTGGTCCCACACTGAGTCTGAGTAACAGGAGATCCAAAGACAGAGGAAGAGGAAGGAAGGACAGGGAGACCAATCCAAGAAAGTCTAACGTTTAATTTGCTGTCATTGGAAACTCTCTCTCCATACCTGCTAAGCTATTATGGTCAGAACATCTTGGCTCCAAAGACTTAAACATGCATGAAAATACTGAGATTAAGAAGGTAATTCTGGGGGCTCAAGGTATAGCTCAGTGGTAGAGTGTGGGCTTAACAAAATGCCCTGGGTTTGATTCCCACCCCCCTCCAACACACACACACACACACACACACACACACGAGAAAAGAAAATAGAATGTAATCCTGAAAACTGAGTTTGAAGTGAGACTTGAACTGCCTTAGATCAGTGATCTCAAGTACACAGGAATGGGGACTACACAAACTGCAGCTACCTGTGGGCCAGATTTCAGAACAGGAATGTCAATCCCACGCTTGTCCTAAGGTGTGTCTGACATGGGCACCATGCAGCAGAATCACTAATTTTTTAAAAGATGAAAATATAAGGACCCTCTCAGAGTCAAAGTAGTTTTTAACGTTGCCATTTTAGATTTAACATATGCATAAGAAATTTTTTAATTATTCCCTAAAAGAACTAGTACCAAGTACTTTCCTGCTTTTTTCTTTAGGGTCAGTATGAAATGTCAGAGACATTCTGGTGTCTCTGTGATACTTATGCTCCCTTAAACTGTTCTGGCTTATTTCTGGCCTATCATGATGCATCCTGTTCTCCTGTTAGCACAGTTTTCCAGACTCTCTGCTCAGTCTCCTTCACAGCACTTGCATGAAAGAGCAAATTTACAGCCCTAGACCTGTGACTCACAGAACCAACACTGACGCCTGCTCTGGGTCTTGAGCATCTGTAAGACAAACAGAGACATTTCTCCTAGAGAAGTGCTTCATACCTCCTCTTCCTTTGTGGACATTAATAAGCTCTGTCCATGTGTGAAAGGATCATATATGTTTATATTTTTAGTGTAAGGGACAAAGCTACAAGTATCAAACTTGTTCCGTGTGGTAATGATTAAAGATGCTCAGAAACGGGCTGAGGATGTAGCTCAGTGGTAGAATGCTTGTCTACTGGTGTGAAGCCCTGGGTTCCATCCTAGAACTGGGAAAAAAACAAAAACAAAACTTATCCAAGCAGTTTTCACCAAGACTGAAAGAATATTTGAGACTTTTTTTTCCTTTTGCGGTATTATAAATCTTAACTCTAATGCTTCTCTGAAAAGTATTTAAAAGGAAAAGTCATACGATAATCTAGGGGACGGGCAGTGGTGGTGACATAAGAAAACAATGTGAGAATACAAGCGTTGGGAGAACCACTGGAACCCTTCAAAAACACACATCTCCACTGTTATCAGAGGTCTAACGAATGTCTTGGTTGGAATTGGAATCAGAGAAATACCTGTTTTTGTTTTACGCCCATTAAAAAGATAGCTCTTCTGCTCTGCCTACAAAATTATACTTCCGTATCTTTATCTGTAGTCTCCTCCACTAACTTGAAGGGCAAACAAATGGAGCAAAATACTTCTCTACAGATTTGACCTGCTTCCTTACGAACATCTACCCTGAACTACTTCAACAACAAGGGAAAGCGCTCAGTGATCCCTGTGTGGCATGAGAACTCAGCCAAGCTGGGTCGGCAGGGGAAGGGCAAAGCCCATGAAAGGGGCAGCTCTGACCACCCTGACTCAACATCCAACAGGAACCATTTGACCAGGAAGGCAACTTCTCTAAGGAAATGCCTCCGCATTCTCCAAGGAGAGTTTGGCAGGCTCCTCCCTTCTGTACTGCTTCACCAGGTCTTCAGATAAGGACTCTTCCTTATAAGAACTAAATTTGCTTTACACAAGCCAGGCAACTCAGACCCTGTGCTATGTTTTATTTGCTGGTTTCAACACTGGCCACTTTTTCCTCTATTGTGTAAGCATTTCTTCATCAGGAGACCCAGATGTTCATTAGAAGTTCAAAGCTTTAAATGCAAAGAACTACTGGTGGCAACACTCACGGAAATGCGAGCTAGTGAATAATTAAATCAAATGCTGACCAAGGTCAAAGCTATCTAGGGGACACAATTCAAATACATTCCTGTTTGCATTTCTTCCTAATGTTTCTGCTAATTGATAAGCTTCCACCCAACTTCTACTTCCAACTTCTCATCAATTAAAACTGAATTTCTCTTTAGGAGTTCCTCTTGAGTATTTTATGGATCAACTCAATCCATAGGGATCGTCTCTCCTGGAGAAGCAGTCTGGTTATTCCCTAAAGAGATTAGGCCCATGCCAAGACTAGTTTATCGGCTGTATGTGGACGTCTTACCTTCCAACTGTGCTAAGAAAAGCAATGCCCATGCCTCCATATCCCCTATGCTATCCCAGGCTTGAAGCTTTTCATGCTCTGATTGTCATAAGGTAAAACTGTAAATGAGTTTGAACTGATACTCAGAGCTCAGGAAAGAAACTGTTAATGGGGGTGAGTCCTAAGGATATTTATCTAAGACACTGAGATAGAAAAGTTTATAGAGAATATAATTTTTTTCTTGATAAAAAGAAATATTCAGAGCAAGGTGCACTGGCAAGACCTCTACTAGTGTTACTTCTTTTCTTCTTTTTTTCTTTCTTTTGGCAGTACTGAGGTTTGAACTCAGGGTCCTGAGCTTGACAGGCAGGCACTCTACCACTTGAGCCACACCTGCAGCCCTTTTGGCTCTAGTTATTTTTCAGTTAGGGCTTGAGTTTCTGCAGGGCCAGTGTCAGACTGTTATCCTCCGACCTACAGCCTTCCACGTAGCTGGGACTACAGGAGTGCCCAGCTCGTTTATTGAGATAGGGTCCTGCTAACTTTTTGCCTGTGCTGGCCTTGAACAAAGATCCTCCTGACTTCCCCAATATCTGGACCTGGTGCCCAGCTCTATGTCACTTTCTTTAAAAAGTTTCCCTTGAGTGACTGAAAGTACCACAGTTGTATCACCTCTGACAGTTTTTCAGCTCTCAACAGCTATTGACTCAGGCTTCTACCATATGTATTATGTAGAACGAACAGTTAATCCTCCATTCTCCGTTAGGTAAGTGTAAGGAAGTCACAGCAAGACAGTTTGAGATCGCATGTTAAGTGTCACAACATGGCTGAGAAGGAGGTGGCCTGGGATGACAGGAGGCTGAACCCAGTTTTCAGGTACAGTGAAGAAGGCTATAAAAGGATTCTTGCCAAAGTGCACATCTAAGCTCCTAGCTGAAAGGCAAGTTGGCTAAGAAAGGAGTGGACAGTAAGAGTCCAGGCAGAAAGACCTATCAACCCAAAAAGGGCACACCCTAAGGTGACCCTACAATGACTTATGTCTTTTTGACATAGCACCCTAAAGTCCTCAGACAGAGAGACTGCGGGCTTCTGGGATGTGATCAGAGGACCCAGCAAAGCCATGGCCCAACTCTGATCCTTTGATACTATGAGCTAATCAATGCATGTTGTTTAACAGCCAGGGATGGTGAATGCGATGCTGTGCCTGTAACTTGTACCCTCTGAAATGTTTACACCTGAAACCCCTCACCAGTTTTAAACGCTCCTCTAGGGCAGAGGTGGAGTGGGTACATCACGATTTTTCCTTGCTAAGCGGTCATGAATTGATGCATAAGTATTTGCCATTGATTCCACATTGGTCAAAGTGCAAGATGCATTTCTCTCTCTTTTTCCCTTCCTTTCATTTTACAAAACGAAGAAACTCCTTGGTTTAAAACAACACAGTAAGCCAGGTATGGCAGCATGCACCTATAGTCCCAGTTACTCAGGAGGCAAAGGCAGGAGGATCAATTTGCCCAGAGGTTTGAGATCAGCATAGGAAACATAGTGAGAACTCATTTCAAAGAAAAAACAAGACAAAACAAAAAGCATAGCAAGAGTGGAAACTTTAAAACACTTCTGCAACACATAAGGGCAAGAAGATCAGGCATGAGGGCCAGTTCTTTGGAAGAATTGTGTGTGTGACCTCAAAGGCCAGCCTTCCAGCTACCTACATTTCTGTGCCCAGAGTCAAATTTCTGTCTTTCCCATGTGATAAGGCACTGGAGGGAAGAACTACAGAGGAAAGCCAAGGGAGATTTTTGGCAATTCCCTGACACAGGAAGAAGCGGTCTATATGCAACTAATTAAATGCCTAGCTTCAGACATTCAGGCTGGACTGCCCTCTACTGGGCTCCTGTCTGGAGTAAGGGGTAAAGAACCTCTGCAACAGCAGTGTGTTCTAAATTAGATTTTGCTTTTCACTTTCTAGACTGAGTTTTTGGCAACCTACAAGATTTCATACTGACTGCTGGCCTCCCATGCAGCAGCTGCTATGGTCACAGGGTAACAACCAGCATTTGAATCACAGAAAGAAGCAACTGGGGTCTCATTTCTGAGATGTTAGGTCTTCCTAGGGCATCTAAACCCTGGGATACTCATCAGTCACTGTACTAACCACCTCAGTGTACACACACACACACACACGATCAGGAATGAGATGTTTCAATGTGTCCTCTAACGAAACATCATCCTTGAGGGGTCAATGACCTCATACAGAGTTTGGAAAATGAAAGACTGCAGTTGGTGTGGCAACACAAGTGTGCTTCCAATGTTAAAAACAATCTATTAGCAGTGTCTTAGAACACCATGCTTTGGCAGCACCTGCCACCTCTCCAGGGTTGGGTGGCACTCGTTCTTTCTGTGACAGTACCTTAGTCTTCCCCAGCTGCCACTCGCTGTTGGAGGCATCGTAGAGCTGCAGGAGCGCAGTGCACTTCCCTCGGATGTCCTCTGGCAAAGCCATGTTCCTCGTGAGCACTTTATACCTGCAACACAGAGGTGCAGGGGTCACATTCTGCTAGCTGCTAGGATTCCTTACGTTCTTCCATCCCCTAAAAAGAAAAAGGATCCATTCAGCTCGCTCTTGCCTTTTATAAAAATCCTGAAAGGGTCTTCGGACTGCATACCCTGCTTTGCGGATCCTCACTGTCTCCAGCATCCCTGAGTACCTCAGCTGGTTTAGCACAACTGCCTGGTCAAATTGGTCTGGCATCTAAAACATGCAGAAGGTGGGAAGTCAGACATGGCAGCATTAGACGTGACAGTGTAGTAAGGCCAGTATCACCACTGTTGTGAGCGCACACACTCACACACAAATTCTGAACCGACACAAAGATGCACTGAGAAAATGACCACGTGGAGGTCCATTACCTTGTTTCAAGAACCATCGCCCAGCCAACTCTGCCCCATCTGGGAGCCTGCGTACTCCCTACTCTTGAAAGATAACCAGTTTCTTAATGTAAATATCAATGTTCAAATACTTACGTCTCAGAAAGACCATAGATACACCACCAGTTTTAAATGCAGCTTTTTTCAAACGAATCTAAAGTATTGTCATACAAATATCACCTTTACATTTTAAGCTTCACTTTTTAAATTCATTTTTTGCTAAAGAATACAGTAGAGCCAGTGACAGACACACACACACACACACAAGAGGAAGAGTGGGGAAGAAGGGAACAAAAAATCCTAACCAGTGTATAAAAGCGACAAAAAAAAAAAAAAGCCAAATAATTTGCTCACTCTAGTCAAATACCCTACTTATTGAGAGTTTCATACTTGCTGAGCCCAAGGGTGTACTGATTAAAGACAGGAAATCAAACCAAGATTGAGCTGCTAAAATCCAGTCTCCTATCTGCTCAGTTGCCACACAAACTGGCATTCCTGCCAGGACAATAGTTTATTGAAGTGAAGCAAAAGTGGGTCATTTCCCACTTCCAGGTTTTCGGATGGTGATTCATTTAATTAATCCAAGCACACATTCCTTTTAATTCACTTCTATTTTGTTATTCTACATAACCATGAATAAGAGGACTGAGAAATAGAGCCACAGAGTATACTTGTTCAAAAGTATAAAAAATGAGGCATGTCTTATTCTGTGATCCTTAAAAAACGCAGCCACAAACATGAAAATCAAGCTTAAAGCCACGTTATTTTGTACACTTTCAAAATGAGCAAAAAATAAAGTTCAAGAATGCTCTGCAAATCTCCTGACAGCTTGATAGAACAGCTACCCTCATTTCCAGCAGGCTGGTTTCTCTCAAAAATTTCTTATACAAACACCATGGTCAAGTTGTCTTTACTTAGCACTATTCTGACAGAGTGTAGCCAACAAATGAGGGCAAAGAGCCAAAGAACTGGGGCTGATTTTTAGTTTGAAGTGTTTAAACTCTGTTTAGAAAAGTATGAAAAGCATAAAACAACAAAAACAAAATTACCCTTGGCAAATGCTACACGGGTATTTCTGCTTTAAAAAATAAAGGGGGAGAACAAATAACTGTTTTGAAGGATATTTGGTTCTGATGGGTCTGTGATACTTATTTGGGAATATAATCTGACCAGTAACAATCTACAAAGAATAGTAGGGAGCAAATACAGAAACAGGCATCAAATAAAGTATCAGATAAATTCAACTTTGTCACATTGTCAATGTCAGAGAAATCTTCTAAATTTAATAGCTAATCAGTTGAGGCTCAAAGTCAGTCAGTGTCTCTCTCTTCCTCCCTCTGCCCTTCCCTCCCTCCAGCCTTCCCGTTCCTGATCTATATGCCGGATCTACCTCTTTTCCCCTTCCACTAGTCTCTAATGAACAGTTCACAGAACCTCCTAAACTGGCACTGGAATTACTAAAGAATCCTCCAAGCTATGACTCACATGGATCTCCCCTCCAGAGCCCAGGCACACACTCACCATCCTCCAGTCTCTCCCGGCGACATTCCACCTTCCGTTAGGCTCTCAGGCCAAACTTCATATGGAAAACAACTGCCACACTGACCTTTTCCCCACAGCTAACTAAAGACGCAGAACAATAATGAACACCATTCCTGTGCTTTAAAAAGTGCCCGGTCGCTATGACAACCCCTTGCACTCTGGGCTAATTAGTGTGGTGTGGCTGTAGGATTTGATACAGCTTGGCCAGCGAGGGAGCGGGGAGGGAAAGAGGGAGGGAGCCACTGGGAGCAGCCACAATTTCCAGACTCCCACTGCCATTGTACTTCTGCTCCCTTCCCAGTAATTTAACCAGGGGAAGGGGGATCTATAGGCCGATTGTTGCCCTGGGCAACCCACCCTGTGGTCACGGGGTGGGGGGTTGGGGGGTGTCGGCAACCCTGGCTTTCCATTGGTGGTTCTCTTTTTCGGTGGCAACTTCCTTTTCTGGTGAATTGAACTTTCAAAGATGTCACAGCTGGAGGCTGGATAAGGAGCAACTTAAAGGCATTTTGCTTTTTCAAAACTTCCCTAAAGCACTCTGGTCTTGATTGGCAACTGGTTTTCCAGAACTGGAGTTCACCCCAACAAAGACTGCCTGTGGGGTACGAACAACCATGTTCTGAAAGAACAAATAGCTTCGATTTTGGAAGGAACAGGTCTAACCCCAGATGATTACAGTCACAGGGATCTCAGCTTGATCCATCTAGTGAATAGTTACTAAACACCTACTGTGTGCAAGGCTTTGTGATTTGTGCATCCCAACAAGTTGGGAGCTGGACTTTGTGTCCAAAGACCTTGAAATTTAGGAGGTTGTCAAGTGTGCCAAACATCACCATTAAAATAGTCAGAAGTCTATCAAAGACACAAATTAGTAAGATCCTTGGGAACACAAGAGAGGAAAATATTGAAGAGATATGCGTAGTGCCTGGATTCATACCAGCGCTTGGGTTCTTGTAACGCTGGAGGGGAAGGCTGTAATGCACAGAAAAAGCATGAACAAAGCCTAGGACATAGAGAAAGTGATCTGTCATCAGGCTGGGAAACACGGGAAGAGGGACCTGGGCTGATAGTGGACATGGGGCTCAAGTTGAATGGTCACTGTGTTCAAGAGATCTGCTGGGTGTGACAAGGCTCTACCTCTGCTGTGTGAGGGCACTCTTGATGACAAGGACAACACTGGAAACAAGGTCATCACCTACTAGAGGGATGGCAGGATCTGCTTTGCTACCACACATCATGAAATATTAGTGGTCTTTAACAAGTAAAACCAAATGAAAGACCCACCAGTTGGCTCCAGGCCTTTCACAAGGTCTAATAAAAAGAAAGCTTCAGAAAAGCATGTTTAACAACCTCATGGTATGAAACCTGTTCTACTATGGATATGTGCATGAATACAAACGAGATAAAATCCCGGACAGACACATGCCAGGTTGTTACTGGGTAGGCCGCACTGCTGTGGATGGTGGGGGAGGAGATAGCACAAAAGAAGGGAAAAGTCAGACTGCACTAAAAGGAGGAAATCACTCCATAAATTTTATAAAACATTTCTATATGATTATATATTTTTAAAGACATTTCAAGTTAGGAGTACTTAGAAGGAGGAGAAAAAAAAAAATCAGAACCCAACCGAATTCTGGAGGTTCTTCATGGAAAAGGGTGAAAGAACAGAGAAGCAGGGAGACCAGGTGAGTGGCAGTGATAAATGGATAAAGCAAATGGGGTTTGCAGTCTATCAGTCACCCACTGGTGTCGGAGCAGGCTGGCTCCAGGACCCCTTGCAGATACCAAAAGCCTTGTATAAAATGGTGTAGTATGCACATAACCTGTACACAACCTTTCCTATACCTCCAACCATCTCTAGATTGTTTATAATACCTGCTACACTGTAAATGCTTGTCAATGGTTGTTATACTGAATTGTTCAGGGCATAAAGATAAGAAAAACTGCAACATATTCGGTATAGATGAGAACTGTATTAAATACTTTCACTCCACAGTTGAGGAACACAAGAATACAAAGAGCTAATTCACAGACTGGAATATTACTTGGCCATGAAAGGGAATGAAGTATTAGTACATCCTACATCATCATCAGGCTAAGCGAAAGAAGCCAGTCACAAAACACTACCTGATTCTATTCAGATGAAATGTCCAGAACAGGGATTTCTACAGCACAAAAAATAGAGTGGTAGTTGCTTAGGGCTGATGGAGGAGATGGGGACCCATAGAAGTATTAGATAGCTATGGAATCAGTGGTGCTCTTTGTGAAATGACGAATGTGTTCCAAAATTCACCGTTGTGACAGTTGCACATACCTCTGAATATTTAAAAAAAATTTTTTTAATAAGTCTATTATATGGCATGTGAATTCTATCTCTAAAAGTCTTAAAATTAAGAAAGTGTATCATGGTCAGGCATGGTAGTGAATGCCTATAATCCCAGGTGAGGCAAGAGGGCCATGAGTATGAGACAGTCTGGGCTACGTAGCGAGACCCTGTCTAAAATTTGAAAAAAAGAAAAAGAAGAAAGAAAAACGGCTGGGAATATAGCTCAGTGCTACAGTGCTTGCCTAACACATGCCAGATCCTGGGTTCAATCCCCAGCATCACACGAAAAAAAAATAAGTGCATCAAAGGCCAGGCTGAGGTGCTGAAATGAGGAAGGGATGGATGCAGGAGCAGGCTTGCCACCTGGAGACAGTGGAGACAGGATGAAATAGAATTGGCTTTAATTAGCGATTGGAGTAATTTAATCAGAACAAAAAATAGAATACCTTTTTTCCCCTAAAATCTGAAATAACAAGAATGCAGAATACCCAGATAGAAACAAATGATTGATACTACAGCAAGCTAAACTTGTCATGGAAAATCCATTGTGGGCAAGGCTTACGTCCCACAGCTTAAAATTTGAATAAAAGACAACAGAGATGCTGACAGCCAGGGACAGATAGATCAGAGAATGTGCTTTACAGTGAAAAGAACAGAAATACTTGCATTGATGCACTGTGAATCAGATTGCCCTGAAGGTACCTGACCTTCCTAACTCTATGAATACTGCTTTCATGGCACTAAGAAGAGTGACACCTGCTCACGTTAAACTGAAAAAAGCAGAGTGAATATACTATCTGTGGATCTTGCTTCTTATGGCTATCAACATATGTGAATCCCACAAAAAAACTAACCCAGGATCTCTGAGCAGACCATGAGAAAGATGGGGGTGAGAATCAGCCTGCCACTCAGAGCCTGCTACTTAGTCCCCTAGCCAGGAACTAATGGGGAAGGAC